AATAAAAAGCCTCCAGGAAGGTACAGTTTAAAACCACAATCCTGCAGATGTCTTACTGTGAATTTCTTTTACTAACACAGATGACAGATGTACTAAATAAGTTGTTTTCTCCTCATAAATGCTAAGAAGAGTTTGGTCCCAAAGTGCCATCGTTGACTTATTTAAGTATTTCTCTCTTTCTGTCTAAGTGCTGGGGATGTACTTTTTCTGAAGAAAAAAAAATTTATAAGCTATTTCAGCAACTAGAAAAATTACTATTTGGATTTAAAATTAATTCTGAAAGAGAAATTTTACCAAAGTGACTTAAGAGGTGGAATCTGAGGCCTATTTGAAAGACTGTGATGAATGTCTGAGACTTGTGCCAAAGACTGCTTTCCAACAGCTCAGTGTGGATTCAAATCCCCTGAGCACTCCAGAAGAAAGATGATCTGGTCGATCAGCAAAAGAAATGGAGAAATCCTGGCTGTTATTTGTTGGTGTCTCTTGGATGACCTTTAAAATAAATAAATAATAATAAAAAAAATCCTCAACAAAATTACACTGAGGTTTTAACTGTCATAAAATCCATTAGACTGGGGAGGATATGAGAGGATCATTAAATCCATGCCAAAGCAGAGTTCAGAAGTTATTAGGACTAATACTGGGAATGCTTGAACACTTATCTCTTGCATCTGCCTGACTATTTTCAGGGAAACATATAGAAATTTAATTATCTTTTTCTTTTAGGACTTCATTATAGACATGTAATAGACTAAATTTAAGTCTATCAATAGGCTTAGAAATTTCTAATAGAGGAATAACACACACACACAGATGAAGTAAACTGTAGAAATTAAGTGAGCACTCCTATAGAAAACCAGACCATAAAATTCCCAGAATTTGCCAGAAGCAGTCACACGTTTTTTAGAGTCCAGTGAAAAGGTTCTTAAAAGATTTCCAAAGACTCAGTTCCCAATACTTTGCAATAGTTGGGCTTCTTTAGTCCTGTCACCAAAATCTCCAGTCACTGAGAACATGAATGCTGTCTGGAGAGCTGAGCACCCCCTGGAGTTAATGCATCCCTACCACTGCTGCCAGCAGTGCTGATGGCAATGCACAACCAAAGCAAGCCTAGAAACTCAGGTCTAAATAAAAATACTAGCATCAATAGAGAGGGATACCTTAATTCTATTCTGCCTACACAGAAAATCAGCATTACTGGACTCTACAAGGCAGTCAGATATTGCAAGGAGTGTACTGTACTGCCTTGCAGCACCTGAATATCTGAAATGCTGTCACTGGGCACAGAGCCATGACATAGCTCAGCATCCCTTGGCTGGAATATTACTGACATTAAAATAGGTGATGTGAGTGAGATATTTAATTTTTCAGAAGCATTGGCATTCCCCAAATTAATGAAACACGCTTCAGGATATGCTAAGGTAAATACAGAACCAAACACAGACATCAGGGTTAGCAAACCAGAAATGTCTTGCTAACTCCCCAAATGTGCTGCAACAGAGTATGTGTTTATTCAATATCCTGTTAGAGGCTCACATAAGATATTCAGATTTTCTGGAATTGGTGACTTATTTTTGTGAACTGAGGGTTAATATATTCTTAAGAATGAAGAAAAAAAACCTTCCAAACCCCTCAAGGTTTTATTTGCTTTATAGCAATCCTGTTCTTGCCAATCACTGTGTTCAAACAAACTTCAAGCATCCCCCAAACAAACAAACAAAAAAGCAACACTCCCCCACCCGGACCAGCAACCTGTCTCAGCTTTTTTAAATCTGACAATAAACCCATTTTCAACTGCAATGGGTAGTAAGAGAAAGCAGGTAGAGGACCTATCCTCAGCAAATGGGAGCAACCAGCCCAGCAGTGATCTTCCATATGAGCAGAAGCACAGAAATTCTGTTATTAGAAAGTTTCTCAGCTGTAAGAGCTGAGAGGGACAGAATATGCATTCTTACCCCAAATGGTTCCTCTAAGGAAATCTGGGAATCCAGAAACTAAGAACAAAATGATAAAACAGAAAGAAAAAAGCCCCACAAATTAAACCAGTAAAATACAGATTGACAATTAAGAAACAGTTCCATGGGATGAAGCTAGAAATCTGTAGGATGTTCTGTGAAGAGATGATTTTTGGTGTGGACAATCTCAGTGTTACAGACACACAAAGCTGAAACTGGATGAGACAATGCCCTTGAAATTCTAACCATAGGAAAGGCTCATGCCTGCTTTTTCTCAGCTGTGCTAGTGCCACTGAGGTGGGGTACCACACAGGCAAGGATGAGTCAGGTCTGCAAGAACAACTGAGATAATGATCCTCATATTTGAGTGGCAAAAATGCTAAAGCATCAAGATTTCTCTTTGTTCAGGAAGCTCTTATTACTATTGGTAACGAAGCATGAGCCGGCTTGACAACGAGATCCCAAGCTGAGCTTGCGGATAGGCAGGGGAATCCCCTCTGCTTATCCCTAAACCAACAAAAAACTTCCCACTAAAAACTTGTGGAAGAAACTAAACACTGAGGTGAAGAACAGCACTTTTTGAAAATCCCTTTCCCAAGGTGAACTGTGTTTCAGCAGTCCAACAACAGCTCAGCAATGCTCAGGAACAGCTTCAGCTACTTGCACAGCTGGAGGGATCGGCCTCCAAGCTTGGACTGATGGATGTGGAGGGGGCCCAGTCCTGCCACTGCTGCCCAGTGCACCGAGGGGAATTCCATGGGGTATTCCATGTGCCATGGGCAGACAGGATGGGTGCCTGCACCAACTATTATTCCATGTGTAGGGCAGCCCTGCAGGCACCAGTGGTGCAGGGAGACCCACTGGAGAGGCTGTGCTGTGCTGGCACAGCGGCATAAAATGGATGGGGAAATGTGAGGAGAAATGTGAGGGAAACCAGTTAAATTTGCAGCAATGGGTTGACTTTTTATATGAGAGATGTTTCTTTTCTGGTAGTAAAAGTTGCTTCTACAGAATTCCACTCTTTTTTTTTTTTTCTTTTTTTTTTTTTTTTTTGTCATTACAGCTGCTGCTTCTTAATGGGGCGACAGACTATGCTGTCTGTATTAGTCAGCAGTCGAGGTAAGAGAGTAGCTTTGCCTGGCGATGCCAAGCCTCAGTGTAATTTCTGCAGACATCCTCATCTGAAAACACCTCGGGTGACAGTTTGGCAGGCACACTGGCATTTCCAGCTGAGTCCCTGCTCCTCCTCATTGAACTTCAGCACTGCCTAAAGTCACTAAATGAGACAGAACCCCCTCCGCAGTAGGAAGGGTAAAAACTGCGTGAGAAATGTTCTGTGTCTGCATGTCTAGATAAAGCAAATGAACTAAATGTGGGAGGGGAAAAGGAGATACAGAAAGTGTGACCAGGGGTCACAGCTCTGTCCATAGCAGGACACGACTTTCTGGCACTCTCTGCCCAGGGCACATGTGTCCTCACAGCTGCTCCAGGGCAAACCCTGCAACCCTGAGGTAACATCTGGGTCGGGATGAGCCTTGTCTTTGTCTGCTCTGTTGTTCAGGTACCTCTCATCAGCATTGCACCTGCTGAGCTCAAAGCAGAGGAAACACACTGCTCTCTCACATTCCTGTGAGTTTTGCTCTCTTGGCCCCATCAGTGTGCAGCCACTGCAGCAGGGATTTTGCTTTAGAGACCTGACAGCCCAAGTCAGGCCTCTTTCTAATCTCGCTATTTCCCTTGAAAAGCTAACACGTTTCTTTTGAGACCACAGAGAGCACTCACTCCAGCCTCTTGGCTTTCACTTGCTGCAGATACTTTGAAAGACTAACTCCTATTAATTAGAAAAAGATAAACAAACTCAGACCTTGCAAGTGCAGGTCTTGCACCGGCTGGTTCCAGAGGGGAAGAGGCTTTGGAAGTTGGTTTACCAGACACGTTTCTGAACCGTCACTTGAATTAAACCAGACCCCATTTATTTTCCATGCCTTCTGAAAGCTACGTTCCCAGTGAAAAGAAAGTAACATATTGATAACAGCATGCTCTGCCACAGGAGAGGATCGAGAATCACCCACGCGTTGCCTTGAAAACAAACAACCCCCAAACAATTGATCAGTCACTGCTGGTACAGAGGCAGTCTATTATGGATAAAAATACAGGTGGAAAAATTCATCAGGGATGTGCAAATACCTCTATTTAAATTCAAGCACAGTAAAGCAAGCTTTACTCCTATAAACAGGAGCAGCGGATTATGGATGCATTTCTCTCAAGTCCTGGCAGAGGGGGAATGCATTTCCAGGCAAGGGGAACCAGAAAACCAAGTGATTTCCCTGTTGAGGCTGGGATTTCTGAGGTGGCTTAACCTGACTGCCAGGAAAGGTGGAAGTGCACCACAGCCTGCTGTATAAATTGCTGCTTTGGCTCCCTGTGTGTGATCTAAATGCAGCCCCAAAGCTGAGCTCTGTATCTGCACACCCAGCAGCATTGCAGTGCCTCTGCCCAAACATCAGCTCCCCTGGGGCAGCACAGTGCCAACGGCACAACAGGCCATGGTCACCCTGGGAATCTCTCACTGGATATGCAAAATGTTTATTTAATTAAAAAATTAAACAAATTGACAGAGCAGTCCATGGAAAAGGCACCAGGAAGGTGATGAAAGACCATCTATGTACTCCTGGGGCTTTGTGTACATACGTGTGCACGTGTAACAAAGAGACAGTGAGAGCAAGACCACTTCAGCTCCTCACCACAGTTTCTACTAATTCCTTCCCCACCCTTTGCTGTAGCTGCACATGTGGATGATACAGTTCTCAAACGAAAGGCTGACACTTGTGTTGACATACTAAGCCTGACTCAATATCGTCCTAGGCTCAAGCTGAACTTGTCTTGAAGGAAGAAAGATATTAACCAGACTTTTAAATCCAGAGCTAATGAAAATGCCAGCTGAGAGTGGCCCCAATACCTTTTGGTTTTTAATTTTAGCTTCCCTCTCCAGCTATGGGCACACAATGCAGTGCCCAATTTTACTTTAGTCTGTCCACTGCTCACCTTGATTTTCACAGCCTTGCTTTGGGAGTCTTCCTGGCTTTCTCAGCAGAACTGTAAACTTCCAACAGCAAAACCAGAGCACAGTTGAAGAGTTCTGTCACTTTCTTGCTGACATTTCTGCCTAGGAGAGAAAATACCACAAACTGTCTCAAACAGAAAGGAATAATGACAAGAATTCACTCGTTTCCTCTCAATAGAAAACTTGAATTTTGAAAATTCAGGTAAAGAACAATAACTAAAAGCACTAAATATGATTTCACCCTCAACTTAGGAAAGTGAAAAAAAATTCAGCATTTTGAAGTTTTCTTCTCCACCATGACCACGCAGAGTTACCCATCTGTGCTGGGTTGACCTTGGCTGGTTTCCAGCCATCCACCCAGCTGCTCTCCTACCCCCCACTCCTCAACAGGAGATTTCGCAGTCAATCTACAAAACAAATGGTTTAGACAGCTTGTAATGCCTAGTAGTACCCAAATTATAAATCCTGTGAAAACCATTTATAAAAATAGGGTTACTATAAAATATCATCTGTTCATATATGGTCAAACCCCCCTCCTTATGCCTAGTCTGGGGATTATAACCCTAAATTCTGCATAAGTGATTCCTCTCTGGACAATATGGTGGTCTTGCATTAGAGCTTGAAGCATAATTAGTTCATATGAGAGAGAAGGTATAATCTATTTCTCAAAGTGGGGCTGGTTTCAGAATATATAAATTCTATGTAGACAGAAATAATGGAATTTACATAGAGCGAAAACAAATTCAGTGTGGAGAATGAAAAGAAAGAGTTACCTTACATTTTGCTACTCAGAAGACCATTCACAGAGTGCAGTGGGCTCTCTTGTAACCCTAAATTATTTGGAGTTGAATTTTTTTTTTTTTTAAGAACAGCAAATCAATATAAAACAAGACTATGCCTATAAATAGAATGAAATTTATCAACTTCCATTCAATCAGGAACAGAAACACAGTCTGCCAATTTTTTATCCCTACTATTTTTCAGTCCTAGAGATTTTTCCAGCAACATCAACGTCATCGAGCAATATATGGCATCAGCTGGTGACTGTTTATACTTCAGTGCAGGTAGATGATATATCTCCACTTTCCTTGCTTGAACTCCATTCCATCTCCCCTCTGCAATATCAGAAACAGGAAAGTCCAAAAAGTTATTGCATTAAAATTTAATATAAGGAAAAAGCAAGTTATTCACTTTAACTGAGAGAACGGGGTCCCTGATGAGAAATCACAAGTCAGCAAATTCTGGGATGACTTCCAAAGGCACAAATAGGTGCTAAGGCTCATAACCATGGAAAGTCAAAGGTAGTCAGTAGCTTGATTGCACTACTCTTTAAATAGTGACAGTCCCACTGAGCTGAATTACTGCTCAGGCTGGAGAGGCTGGGAGTCATTTTCCCTCTTCAGTATCTCTACCATCACCTGTTCCTCCAAACACATGAATAGTGTACCACTCATCAGTCTTAGACTACACTATGTCTTCTCCTGGTCTTGCAGAACAAGTAGTTCCCTCCGTGGGGCAAAGAGGTGCTGCAGGCAGTGTGGGCTGCAGCCACTGTGTGACAGCCAGCCTTGAGCAGGCACACCAGGAAAGGGGGACAGGGAGATGTCAACACCACGAATCTGTCTGTTGAAAGTACACAGAGACTGCAAAGATACCTTTGCTGGTATGTGCTTGCATACCTTTATCATGACATACTTGATACAGGAGCATTATTTGGTGACTTGGTGCTAAGCTTTTTGGAAAAAAACTCCAATATTAATTGTTTGAAAACAGGATTTTTAAGTAATGGATGGGGAAAGAAAACAAAAAGCACCATAAAAACATACAAACAAACAAATCCACAAAAAGCCCCTTCTCCCTGCCAAATCAGCCGTGCTTGGCTTATAGAGAGGTCATTCTTTGTTTTGGTTCAGACAAATTCTTTTCCAAAAGCTATACTTTCCACAGAGAGACTTCATTCAAATATGCAATTAAATATTGCTTTCCTGAACAGAAGTGGCCACACAGAGCATGCTGTCAACACATCCCTGCAAGATTTCTCCAAGAGTTCAGCAGAATAATTAGCTTTGGTGCCGTTGCACAGTAGTTTTTATCTATCAGAGTTTTATCTTGCCTTCTCTCAGTGGTGAGTCTGAGAGAAATTCTGAACGTTTGCCTCATGGGTCTAATCATCTTATTGATGCTCAAAGCGTTTAAATGTGATCTGCAGCCCCTTCACTCTTTGACATTCCAGTTCTTAAAAAAAGTCAGATATTTTGGCAGGTGCTTAGCTCAGACTTGTTCTTTAGGCTATAAGGCTTTTGCCTGTCTAATTAGCTGTGGCAAAAAGCTGAGAATGTTGACAATCTGGGGATGTGAGGTAATAAAAAATAGATTATTTACCAGCAGCAAATTAAGCCCTCTAAGAACCAGTGTGATGAGTTGTGCCCCTCTGACAATTCCACGTAGCAGATAGATACCACTGTCTCCATCTGTCTATCTTGTGCACAGCGTACCTGACGGCATGTTTCTAATCTATTTTCCCATGCAAAAGAATTGATCCACCAAAGCCTTCAGAGACTAAAGAAAGTAACCTTTCTGGTGACAAGAAGCAAAATCTGTCTGCTTCCAAAGATGATTTTTCCCGGTTTCCTTTGGGGCAGTGCAAATAATTGGCCAAAATTACCAAACGCTGCTTGTTACTCACAGTTGTGCTTCTAGTGTGGACTGGTAGATGATGGCATGGGAGAAAAGGCAAGTATGGATGATGGATGAGGTCTGGCTCTTCAGAAACACGGAGAGCCATTACTCAGTATGCTGCTTGCACTGCTCCGTGGCAGTGTGTGCCTGGCTCTGGCTGTGAGGGAGCCGATGCTGCCGAGGGGCCAGGGGAACAAACAGCAGTCCAAACTTGAAAACAGAAAAATCCGTATCATAAAAAGTTAGGAGTGGAGGTGACAGGACCTCTTGCCTAAGCACAGGATCAGCAAGGCAGAGGGGCATGCAGGTGATACAGAACAGCTTCCTCCCTTTTAAAAACCAATCTCAGAATAAGGCAAATAAAAGCAATGGCTCCTTGGAGTACTTTTATTTCCCTCAGCCAGTTTACTCCAAATGACAATTTGCCTTGGTTTTAGTCCTTTTTTTAGACCACATTACTTTTCAAATTCTCCTCCCAAAAGGCATTTTAAGGATTGAGATTCTGGAAGGCTTTCTGGTTTACTCAAACCAGGGTGTATGGGTATCAGAGGATAGTATATGCAGCATATACTATTCTCTTCCCCATATTTCTTTAGAAATGCATTAGCCACACTTTTCTGTATGTTTTCACCACTACCTTGCTAGCACAAGGCATTAGACAACCCTTCAGATCCTCTAAACCAGTGCAGTTGTCTGATGACAGTAAAACTTCTCTAGGTTACAACAGTTATACTCTTCCTTCGCCTACAAAATGCTGGATCCATCTAATGTCTGGTCATGGATTTCAGACTATGTCCTGCAAGAGATGCTAAAAGCCCAATTCTTTTCCAATGTGTTGATATTGTAAGAACATTATTATTTTTCTTGGAGAACTCATTAATCAGTATGGCTACAGTATATGATGTAAAGCTCATGCACAAAGCAGAGGTGACATCAGACCTTCCCTTTGGAGTGGTCACACCCAGGTTAATACAGCACCTCAGTAAGGGATATATGGATATGGATATTTTGCCTTTTGAGCAAAGACTGCAAATTGTGTAGCATTTTCAGATACACCAACTCCCTCGTGTTTTGGCTTGTCTCATCATCCCCAAAAGCTAAATACGATGTCAAGGTTTGTTGAGAAGATCACAAAGCAGTATATGCATTTTATAACAGCGAGGGATGTCTAAATGAGCTGAACAAACAGGCACAGACAAGTTAAAACCCCTTTCCCACATCTATGCTGAATTCCAACAGAATTTACTCCAAGCTTTGGTCTAAAACTTATACAGCTAAATCCTTACAGAGATGGACAAGAAAGCGAACTGCAGTTTCTCCCATCCATGTAAAAGGCTGGAAGTATCAGGAATCTCTTGAGTGTGATTATTGCCAAGAGGCTGTCAGTTCAATTTTAGAGATCAAAGATGATACAGAAACATTCTTTAACTCTATTTTTTAAGCAATGTGCAAGGAACAGGTAAGTATAATTTAGCTTAGCAGGTTTCAGAAAGGGATTGAACATTTTAGTGGAACAGAACATCTACAATAATAAAAGACTGCTTAGAAAAAGCCATGAGTGAACTGTGGGTGCAAACCCACATAAATCAATGCAAGAATTTCTATTGACTTGACTAAGCTTTGGGCTGGGTGCTAATGGGTATCAATTAAGATGAAGATTTCTTTATAGGTAAGTTATCCGTAATTTCCTGCTATTAAAGGTTGTTGCACCTCAAATCACTTTGACCTTTTTAACAAAGGATGTCATGATAGACAAGTTTTGATCTGTTGGACTCTGAGTAGAAAAAAACTAATATTCTATCTAATAATATATGGTACTTTGTAAGATATTTGCTGAAATAAATTTCACTGAACCCACTGTCTCACTGATGATCACAGTTGATAGTAACCATTAAAAGCGCAGATGTAAGCATATACATTCCTGTTTGATTTTCAGTTTTTCCTTCCTGAAAATACTAGAAAAGACTCAAAAAACTAACTTTCCAATATTACAACTAATTTGAAAGGAACTTAAGGAGCTCCCTGTGTTTTATAAGGCTTTTAAAACAGATACTGATAATGAACTTGGCAGATTTTTAGAAAGCTTCAACATAGTGAGAGAAAAAAATAAATTAAAAGAAGCCTGTGCAGTTTAGTAAGACAAAGGAAGTGTATTCCATTTTATCTCTTTTTCCTTCCAATATTCAACACTACGTTACACTGCACTGAAGCCAAACACTGAAGCAAATTATCTGTCAAGAGGATTTTATCAATAAATAATTGAATTCGGTTTTCAAGGAGGGCCAAGGCTGGTACATTTCCCCCTACAATTGCAACGGTGTCCTGTTCTGTGCACTATAACTGGCACTGCAGCACCAAACATCCATCAGGGAGGCAAAGTCTTGGGTGTGGAACACATTTGGAACTACGAAAAAAAAAAAAAAAAAAAAAAGAAAAGAAAGAAGTTATATTTTTTATTCTTTCTCCTTGAAGTTCCACTGTGAACGCTCATCTGTTCCTGATACCTTCTGAACCTATTAACTGATCTGATCCGCACTTGAGAGGCCCATGGCTATCAAATCAAGTCTACTCAATCCCCAGTTTCCACTGAGGAAAGAGATCTTGCTAAGGGGAAAACTACAGCCTGACACACCATTTACTGGGCACAAAGAGTTCCTACACAAGGGGAAGGCGTAGAGGGTGGGCAGAAAGGAGACAGTGCAATAAAAGCTTGAGAAGGAGCTGGCATAGTCCTGGACACCAGGGAATCCAACCAATGAGATATAAATCTATTGAAAAGCAGGCTTCATTAGTTGCACTGCTCATGGAGCTGCATGTTTACAATTTGGGAGGAAATGGTCTGAAACTGAAGTGTCAAAGCAAAAAAAATGATGGTTTAATGCAGGGTTTGTAATGGGTTCATAAAAAATACTGCTTCTTAAAGGTCCTGGATACAATTACAGTCATTGTGCATTTAGTGCAGAGGGTATTCACTGATCAGGATGCACAGAGCAGCCAAACTAAAGGGTACAGTGGTTTAACTTGCACCAGGATGATTAAGTTTACCTGTGAGGAAAAACTGTCTGGAGGGTACTGCTTGGGCTGACTGTGAAGGTGCAGCACAGACACTTCTGAAAAGCTCAGACCAGTTTCTGGAAAGTCACAGGCTCATGTTGAGGCAGGGGACCTTTGAGTCCAGCAAAAGGCAAGTGGGAATAACTTCATTACATGGGTTCTTACTACATTTGAACAGTTTTTCCAGCCTGAAATAAGCTGTGTGATCATTTCACCAGGTGCCTTTCCTACCTGCTTTACAGGAAGCAATGAGGAAGAAAGTAGCTCCTGAAGAGGTATTCGTGACTCAGCAGGATCTAAAAAGTTGTCTTCAGAGATGAAGATGTCTGAAGCTTGTACAGAACAGAACCTGCCCAGACAAAGCAACAGGTTATAGATGACAGACTAGATCAAACAGTGAAAACACATTGGTGGAGGTTTTTGGGTGTGGTGCTCTGAAATTCCTTCAGATTTTTGTGTTATGTGGCACATTGCTACTCCTTTTTTCTATATTTTTTTCTTTCTCTTTTAAATCTTATAATTCCCTGGTAGCTGTTTAATCTGGTTGATGGCCCTCTTTCCATTTAGCATGGACAGTTTTGGACAGAATCTTTCCAGCTGGTGTCTTTGTGAGCTGGATCCATGTACACAACAATTGCATTCACGTTTCTATTTTTGTGGTGGTGTTTTCCTGTCCCTTTGCCAAGGTTGGGCTGTGCTGGCACAGTAGATGTGACACTTCAGATATGTGCCCTGTGGAAATAAAGACACACTTTAAACCTAAATGAAGACAAAATTCTTCAGACTAAGTTTTCAGCTAGTCTCAGAGATCCACTGCAGCAAAATTTATTAATTTTTAAAGCAATTGCTTTTAATATATATATCACATCTTAAAAGGAGTTGGACACTTACATAATTGACCTTAAAATATATAGAGATTAGAAAAGCTAATGGTTACACTAACAGCCAAAATCAGAAAGAAAGAAAAAAAACTTCAACCAATTTAGGATGCTTCAAGGCTCAAGCTCTATAGCACATTTTCTAGTAAATGCATAATATTTTCCTTTGTGTGCAGGTTTTTTCAAAATGGTTTTTATGGAGTCTCCTTCAGCTCTTAGTACAAGCCACTGCCACAAACTTAATTTCTGAGCCAAACAGGCCACTGACATCATATAGCAAGGCTACTCCAACCTACAAAAATCTGAATTTCTAATGGCATACAGGTCACCCAGCCATCTTCTACAAATACAGCTTTTGCCACAAATTCTCCATACAGCCATCAGTTATGATGCAGAGGGCAGTCCACCATAACATACCTGTTTCCACGAGCTTGTATTGCACAGGCAGAGTAGAGAGCAAGGATCATGTGGAAAAGCAACACCTCATTTCTTGCCTTGGGCCATGAGAAAAGGTAGAAAGCACCACTGTTTTAAGAGGGTCAAAAAGAAGTGGTGCACCTTTGGCTCTGTAAGCACTGCCCCTGGTACCAGGCCAGCAGCTCCCTGGGGGATCCCAGCTGGATGTCCTGGGGCATCACACCTTCCTCTGGCACACAGACATCCACAGGTGCAGTGCTGCAGGAGCCTGTGGAGCACAGTGTGGCATGAATTAGTACCCTATTTCAGGCAGGAAAGGGATCAAGAAATAGGCAGAAGAACAGCTGATAATGACAGTAACCAAATTAGTCAGCAGGAGAGGAAGATGCCACCTCAAACCTCGGGAATTTTTTCACTCTCCCGCGTGCTTAGAGGCAGGAGAACACCTGAAGTCAGTGTCTCACGGGGCACAGAGAATTTTTAAAGCACTTTGGAGCAGCACTGCTCAGCCAGTGAGATGCTACAAACAGCAAATGCAAAGCACAGCATTACTGTTCTCCCACTCCTTTTCCTCTTTGCCCTTTTGGGAAACATTAAGTAGCAGCACAAAGAATTTCTATGTGACTGAAGTGAAGCACTGGTTAAAGAACAACTACAAAAACACCAAGACATACTGCTGAAAAGGATTTTGAAAGAAAGATCCTTAATTTGAATGGAAAATATCTCTAAATCCTTTAAGCTGCTTTGAAAATCTCAGCCTCCATGATATGGTTTAAATCTTAGATAACAGTGTTATTCTGAAATTAGACAGAACATAACCTTACTTAGAAGAAAGAGGGGTAGAAAAAGCCAAATTTCCCCTGAAGTTTGCTTGTTTGTGCATTTTTTTTTTTTTATTTTTAAAGACTTGATTTATTTAGAGGGTAAAGTGAAAATCTGAGCCTGTGCTTTCTGTATGGGAATCACTTTGGAGCAGCAGCATCAGGCCACAGGCAGATAAGCACCACAACAAAGGGGCTGTTCTTGGGGAGCAAAGCTCAGAGCAGAGTTTTAAGCTGGGCTCAGAGGAGTGGTTGTGATAGTTTGAAGCACCTGCAACCACATAGGAGGCTCTGGATTTGGAAAGAAACTTTATTGTCAGAAGATTATGTCACCACCTAAAACAATTTAAGGCAAACTAAGTGCTGCAGCAGGGATTCAAATGCTAAAAAAGAAATCACATGAGTTTATTTATACAGATGCCTGCTGTACTGGCACTGTGAGGTACAATGCTCTCACATCATAGGCTGAAATGTAGCATATACACATCTATATCTACCTATAGCTCTTTTTATTTTAAACTCTGCTTATGTAGGTACCTAATTTTCCTGGCAAGAAAACTTCATCTTAAAATTAACTATTCTTTAAGAAAGGGGGTAAAATGAAAGGTGGCCAAGTGTTATGTAGAGGGTATGTTGAAGATGTGCTTAAAAGCAACGTGGAGTGTGAAATAGCCAGAGTGGTTAGTATTAAAATTCCTTAGAGAGGATAGAAAACAGTACAAAGCGAGATTTAAGCTTCACTTGTGTTGGAGGATTTATTAGTTCTTGAAAAGGAAGATTTCAAAGAAACTAGTAATGAATGAGGGAGTAATTACATACTGAGTTTGCAGAGAATAAACTAATTATAAAAATATGGTATGTTGTAGGCCATCTGCCCCCCAAAAAAAGAACTGAATTGTCAAATTACTGAGCCAGAGATGACACATTATAATTATACTGTTACTATGCAAGATATAATACAAAAATCTAACAACATTTTGTAATAACAACCATTTCTCTTTCTTGTTTGAAAATGAGAGTCATTACATGCTATCATGAGATTTGATGTTTCTTGTCAGCATCCCAATGTGTCGGGATAACTGCATTACCCATCTTTTTGGAAGGAGGAAAAAAGCTAGTGACAAACCCTATGGAGGCATAACTTGGGAAATTCCAGTGCTAACTAGGGAACTGAGTGAGTTTCCCCACCATTTGGAGCACCAGGGAGTCACTGAATAATCTCAGCCAAATTATTTCATTTCTGCATAGAAGTTTGACAGAGTGCATCAGGCTGGCTGAGTGTTCCAAACTCTTGCCTTGCCTTTGGACTTTCTTTTGTTAATTAAAGACCCTGTTTCCCTTCAATCTGTCTGTTGTCACAGTCCTTCCTTTGAGACTGCTCACTGAAAATGCAGTTTAAAACCTAGTTTTGGTACAAACATAATAAACCCCACCATTCTGGCTGATTTAAGACCATGAGCACCTCCTGGCAGTAAAGATGCTTGAAATCTGGAGTTCACTTTCAGCCATTAGAAAGAAGCAGTGGTAGAGTTTCATAGGTAGGAATCAAATAGTGGAGGCTTCATTTTATATTGAACTAGGTCTGGCTGTTACTTACAGGTCTTTTTCACCTTTATGAAGCTCTGCACAGTAATTTCACAAACTTGGTAAGATCCAGTGGGATTTGAGTCTCAGGAGACTTGCAGTTCCCATTGAGGAATTTTGTCTTCCCTTCAAACCACACAGAGGATAATCAAATAATCAACAACGATTGCTAATGTGAAAAATGAAGGGGCAGAGAGAAAAGGTACAGAAAGTCAAAGTGCTTCTGCTCATGCTGTGACTGTAGGCATGGAATCTCCTAAACACAACCGTGATTTTGCTTTGAAGCTTTGCACAGACAAGAGCCTGTCCTCTTCCCAGAGCAGTTTTTCACGAGTCATTCACATTTTCCCTAGGCTAGTAAAGCTCTTTGTTTCAGGTGAGCAAGGAATCCTATCAAAGACAAGAGGAACCTCGTGGCCTTAGAGCACAGTTGCTCATGTGCCTTCTTAGCTCCAAACACCTAAAAACAGGCACCTAAATTCTGAAACATGAAGAAAATAAAAACCAGTTTTGGTGATCTGAAAGTCCAGGTCCACAAATTTGTTTGGTGCCAAATACTACTAGGAGAATATTTCCATTGGTTTTACTGGTCTTTAGATAAGAACTAACTCTTGGCAAGTGCAAGTAGGAATGAGAGGTGGAGATTTTTTTTAAACAGTGTAGTTCTAACCCTAAACTACTTCCTACTACACTTAAGTAGGAATTACTACTACTGGTACTATTACCACTACTACTACACCTGCTTCAGCCTTCCTCTCTCTCTCCAGTGACTAAAAACTGTAATTTCTATTCCCATAATGCGTCTGTAGCAACAACCAAAATTGTTTACAAAGGGGAGAAACCCACACACATTGAATTTTAGGTGATACTTTCAATTCCTGATGTACTAAAGCACAAGAAAAAAATCTCAATTCATGCATAAGATCTTGATATACCAATAAAAACCCTTGAAACTCACAAAACTCAGAAGAGAAAGAGGGAGAAAGAGGCAGAACATTCAAGGTTTTTGAATTTTTGTCACAGTGCCCATCAGGCCTAAGAAGTCCCTGCATGATTACAGCTTCCTCTTTGCCCAGAAGAGTCTAGATCAAGATTCAGTTCTCCAGCAGCAGTAACTGTGGCCAGGGAAAGCAGCAGAAAACCTGGTCTCTCAGTCCCACACAGCTGAAACTCTGATACCTACAGCTTCTCATACACCTTTTATATCATCTTGGAGACATCAAGCTTTGGAGCTGAGTTTGCATCCATTCATACAGTTAATGCTTGTTAACATTAAAAGTGGTTCAGCTTGTGATTAAAGTTTGCAGTTTAATGAGTAATTACAGTGGTCCTGCAGTCCAGTGTGCTGTACTTGTCAGCCTGCAGCACTGACATGCACACAAAACCAGTGAATCCACTCATGCTGATGTCTTCATTGCATGCTCTGCTTTTATTTGCACCCCCCCCCAGATTAAACATTTAAGAGGCAGTTAATAAAACTAACAGTTAGATTGGACACATTAAATAGAATTTCCAAAGAATGTATTAAAATTTAGTATTAGGATAATTATAAACTGAGTTCCATTTTCTTCCACTTATTTTGGTTCTGAAGGATTTTTAAATACTAAATTTAGTATTTAGCTAAATCTAAACAGTACCTGTATTTCCAGTACCAGGAATTAAACTGGCATATTCCTGGTCCCATTTTCAATGACATGAAGATGTGAAGCTGCCACTGTCTTCATAGAGAGAAAATTCCCCAGAAGTTTAAGGCATTCAGGCTGGCTTTGCTCATTCAGCTCATCTCCCAGATGGGAAAGCAGACAACATCTGAACAGATCAAAATAATAATATAAAAACACATTTATGCTATATATCCAGCTTATTAAATTAAATTCATACACTAATTTTTCCTCTCAACTAATATACATGTGGCCCTGCACAGGTCAGTGCCCTAAGAGACACTCTATTCAGTTGATGCTGCTGTCCCTGAGTTGTGCCATCATTGTTAGATGCAATCAGACAGTAATTATGTTTTTAAACTCCTAAAATTGTCCACTGAAAAGTATTTTTTTTGCCATCAGGTGAACAGCGTTTTAAAATTAGTATCCAATAACACAGCTGCACGTATGTTTTTGGAGCTGATGCCAAGCTTAAATGGTCACTACCCAGAAAAATTCTTCCTTTGGTTTTCATCTTGCCCTCAGCACATTTTGCATGGGGCACGTGCCACGTCTGCAATTTTGCACATGTGAAAAGCAAACCAATGTCATCAACTGAGCACAGCCCTCGCTGAGATTAATTGAAAAACAAACAACCAACCAGAAAAACCCTGAAGAGAGATTTTCCCCATCTCAGTATATTAGAAGAGGGATTACTCCTGACAGCAACTTGAGAGAAGAAGAAATAAAGGACAGTGAAAGGGGAAGTAGTTTGCAGCATTCAATCAGTATGCAGCATCAGACTCTTCATTTGCAAAAGCTCTGCTGTAGAGACATTCCAGCATCGCTGAGAGCCACTTTGCTTCCAATGACTGTAGCTACTGCAGATAAAGCCTAACGACTCCTGTAGTTGTGGAAAGATTTCCCCGAGTGAAAGTGCACTTTAAAACTTTTGTTTCCCCGCTCCTAGGTCAGTCAGACAGAGCACACGCAGACACACACACAGGGGAATCCATTTCTATGATTTTTCCTATGGACATGTCCTCTTGGTTAATATACAGCTTATGTTCAGCTTGGTTCAATTAGCTTTACCTCTCTTGGTGCATACAGGAAAGGGGCAATAACTTTGATTGTGTTGTTACCTCCATCTCTGAGCAACTGCCTGAGTCACCTGTGAGGTATAACCCTTCCCCTCCTCATTACTCCAGCCCCACCATCAGTGGGAGACAGATCAGTCTCCCACTGATCTATATTAGTTGAAGCTTGGTAGGGAAGGAGGTTTGTATGGGATCAAATTTGCAGCCTCCACTTGTCCACCTGCTCCTGGTCAAAAAAGAGCTCACCTGGCTGTACTTTATAAACTCATTATCTAGTTAGCCTGTGGTAGCCCAGGGAATATTTTAATTTCCTTTCATAGAAACAGAGTAGGTCCTGCTGACCTCCAGGAAAAAACAAAACCCACTAACAACTGTATTAACACAGTTTAAAGTAATCTTCTGAATTTCCAATAAGACAGTATAAAGTAAGGTGAGAAGTCTCCCAACAAGTTTACTCAATACAGACTCAATTACAGACCTACTAAAAATGACCAAGTCCTGAAAGCACCTTGGTTGTAAAACAGGAGATGAAAGCAGGCAATGAATGCTACCCACTGCAGACAGACACCAGTACAATGTTAATAATAAACAGACATGATATATATCCAGACCCCATGCTCTGTACCTTCCCTATGCATGGTGAAAGCACTGTGGCACAAACTGAACACCAGGTCACTGGATTTCTTTCTCCTGTTCTGCCCCAACGGGTTTAACAAGTGTTTCCTTTGTTGCTAATGCCAAGCAACTGCTACCAGTATCACTTCAACCTTGAAATGTCTGCTTAAAATGCTGCTCTTCCTCTAAGTAAAATCATTTTGATCAGATTCTGTCCTCTGCGCTTCTCATCTCTCCCCTAAACTGAAATGTGAAACATTTAAAACAATAAAAATCACTGTACTGGAAAGCTGCACTGTTTATTTTTCGCACACTGCATGCAAGTGTACAGCAGACCTTTAAGAGTTCTAAATTCATCCTGACCTTCTTCATCGGTTATTTACTTTGGGCCTTGAGGAAATGCTTAGCTTAAATGGCCTTTTTCCCTTTCAGAAATCTAATCTTCCAGAAAAATTCCACTGGACAGCAGGTTTTGTAATGGAATTACTGTAGTTAATTCCTATCACAGCAGTTCCTTAATGAAAGGCTGGAAGAAAGTCAACAGGTACTGTATTCTGCAAAAGCTGCTGTAAATACAAGTGTCGTAGTTCAGAAAGGTGTGTCATCTCCCCATCAAGATAATTAATGGTCTCTCGAGTCAGACAATTAAAGGTTGCAATAATAATCTATAAGATATCTCTCCTTGTTTCCCAATTAAAACTTCTCAGACTAATTAAAACCATGATTGTGTCATGCAGTGTGGTGGTTTCCAACCGGGGCAATAAAATAATGGGTCTCAGCCAGAGAAGATAAACACTTGAAAAATATTACCCATTTAAACACCATCCTATGTCAACATTGATCTATGAAGTTTTGCTTCACATAGTGGAGGAAACCATCTTCCCTTTAAGGTAATCTGCAGTCATTTTCATAAGAGCTGAGTGTCCTGGCTCTTATTAGTTCTCTTCAGGGAAACCTTTATCCATTAAAGTCCTGTAACCAGGAGCGAAGTGCTTGGGTTCCACAGAACAAATGAGCCCAATGTAATGTCAATTATATGAAAAAAAGAGAGAAAGATTAATTAAAACTCTTCAGAAATCTCTTCAATATCGTTGTCTGACATGCTTGCTATCAGCAGAGCATGTCTTCCATCTGGCAGCTTTAACAATATAACACTTTTAGACTGTTCTTAAGGTAATTATGTCAAATATACTGAACGTGATAGGAAGGAACTGGTATTAGTTTCAGATTAATCTCTGCACATTCTGGTATTCCAGTTCAGTCTTCGAAGACTGAATTTGCTATTACTATGTTGCTGGACAATAGGGTTTTTCCCTTTCTGATTTTTGTCCTGCCAGCTGGGATTACACAAGCTCTCCATGTTAGAGCACCACTGGGGTTCTCAGAGAGGAATCAAGGGGCAGGACACAGTACTGTGACCTGGTCTCTGAGATGAGGAAAAAAGGATGGACCCATTACCTACACCCTCAAGGACCTCCTGTAGCCTTTTCTGGCATTAGTATAATCATTTTTAGACTTAAACTCCTCTTTGCCCACTGCAGAGATCTGGGGATTTATCGTTCTTGGTGGAACATCGGTGGAGTACAGCAAAATCACATCACTCAGCAGTTATACCCTGAATGACTTCTGTCTCCATTTCTATCCCTGATCTCACCACTTAATTAGTGTTAGCTAATTACTGTGAATAGCCTTGCATCTTTAACTAAATGAATGTGTGTAATCCTCTCTGCTTTCCTATTAGAAAAAGAAAGGGAGTTAGTGGTATCACACAGATAAATACGCTGCATGGGAATATCTACCTGGAAATTGCAGAAAATTTGTTCCCACCTCTGCTGTGCTCCCATTTTCTGGAGGCATGGGTCAGAAGCTCTGGGACCCTGGTGGTGCTGAGCTGGTAATGGGGCTGGTGGCTGCTGGGTGACACTGGGGAGAAGCAGAGCTTGTTCCCCTTCATGTGTAATGCAGAGCACTCGGACAGTCAAACAGGAGCTGTCTGAACCCACTGGGCAGAGCCTTTCCCTTCAAGACCACAAGCAGCCACAGGAGGATACTCCAGCATTTCCATACCTGATGAGCCACCAGCAGTGAGATGTCATTCTGTGTGTAGATGTACGTTATTCACCCCAACCAGCTCACATTTCATGACAAATTATAAACTTTGCATGATTTCCAGTCCATCTTTGTCTCTGTTTAAGGCTTTCTTACACCTTATCCCCGTCCACTCTTCAGGTCACCCTGGCTCCTTAGACAACAAGGGTGCAGTACTGATGGTCTCAGCTTCTGCCACCCCTCCCCTTATAGAACTCTGCTCATAGGTCTACTTGTCAATTGTCAGGCTTCCTGAATTTTACCTTCCTAAAAAGATGATTTCCAATATAACCCAGGACTTGCATCAGTGCTGCTATGACACGAAAAAATGCATCAAATCTGGACAGGATTTTCCTGTGTCAGATTCACCAGGAAACTGTATTATTGACATGAATTAAAATAATTCACTGTATACAAATGTATTTGTGCTTGCTCCAGGAATATGATTTTGATAAAGGAGCCTGACTAGAATTACACATGTGATTCTCAGTTTGGGGTTTTGTGTGTGTATGGCACCAAGTCTCTGAGCCACTCTGAGTTAAGACAGGTTTTGGTTACTTAAATCAGGATTAGTTACTATCAACTGCAGTCGAATAGGCAAGTTCAGCCTCTCCTTTTCTCTTCTGGCACTATGCAAACAGCAAACTTCCTCTTGTAGAAAGAAAAAATGAAAACTGAAAAATGGAAGACTTGAGAGAAGGCATCTAGATGGTTCTTTGGAGAGGCCAGACATTCCTTTTAATTGAGATCTATAGTAGATCAAGACAAACTTTACCCAAAGGTAAAGTCTCTCACACTGAACCATGTTAATATATAATTTCATTGCTGAATCTATGAACGAGAACGAGGTTCACTTCCAATATTTGACTCTACATGAGAAAGCTATGAACTTACTAGCTTGATCAATTATTTCCTTTAGATGCTGCTTCTAATACACTGATGAGATCTTGGGCAAATCAGGAATTTCTTATTTAAAGTGCAGACAACTGAGTCTGACAACTGCGCTGACATTACGAGGACTGGATCAAAGCTTGAGGTCTTGAAGGATAAACAAGGCAAGTTTGTCCACTGCAGTCATTATTTACACAAACTCAGGCATACATTGCTGCAGATGTCAGTTTGGTTCCTGTTTTGAAGGTCATTTCTGTAGCTTAGAAGATCGAGTTTAACTACATGCTTAGCAAAAACCTGAAATTCTGAATGAGAAGCATCCCCTAGAGAAGTTGTCTTGCCCATGTCCCCATCTCCAGTTAACTGTCCCTAGTGCCTATCAATCACTGAAATGAAAGCTTTGGAGAGATCCTGATTATCTGAATCTTTTACTTTCTATGCAGTTCTGATTCCTGTTTTGGCTGTAAAAAAGGAGATAAAGTTTTCTGCTTATACAACATACCTCATTAAAGGATCCGGGGGGCGAAACGTGCACATAAAATCAGTGAAGACAGGGCTTCATGTCAGAGCCCTTAAATTCAAATCCCCTTGTGTTCTGCGAAAACAGAGACATCAAAAAAATCTGCACAACTCAAAGTCATATGGAACAAATCAGTCATAAAGCTGGACAGGAGGTCAAGATGCTCTGTTATGGAGCAGTTTCACCTTTACTGGTGCCCACATAGGAAGCTTGGGAATAGTCTGGTTTGGGAAGACATGGCACAGACCTGCAACTATATGGTCAACCACAGATTTTCTAAGGCAATGAAATAATAAGGGCACAGGACAACCTGTCTTGAACACCAGAGTTCTTCTGGGATTCAAGGCCATAACTTTTTTTATTTCCCTCCTAAAATATTAATTCAAATGTGCAACTAAGTAAGTGCCAAAACAACTTGTAAAACTTTTAGTAACCCCACATTGACAGAAAAGTAGTATTGCAGAATGTGCTTCATTCCCTTTGATCTATGATTTATTGATGCACAGTATGAAATATTCATTAAAACAGACTGCTGTTTCCCGTTGATTTGTCATGTTTTTAATTCATATTTTAACACATTAATAAAACTGACACTATTAATTATTTTTTGAAATACCAAATATATTTGAGATGTAAAACTGGCATGGGTTATGCTTGATATTAAAATATCAGGAGGAATTAGTTCAAGCAAAATATGATCTGCAAGTGCTTGTAATGATACTCTATATTCTATCGCCCCAAACAACTCCCTAGTTCCCTTCACTACTTTGAAACAACTTTAAATTACGAATGCAAACTGCACTTAGAAGCAGTTGTAACATTAAGCTCATGCTGCTTTGGCATTTCATACAGATACGTATGTTCATCAGTCTTTGCTTTGGTTCTAACAGATAAATATATTGGAGGGGCACAGGAACCTGTTTTTCTGAAGTCATTACTGATCTTGGTCTTCGGTGGTGTTCTTTTTCTCAGCAACATTTTGATTTAACAATCCACAAGGCAGCTCTGTTCTGCCACTCCATCTGCTGTGTAGCAATAATAGGAAGGCTTATGCATTTTTAAGGGAAACATAGGCTGTCTTGTAAAAGGCAGGCTCATAATTACAGTTTCAAACTTGGAGGAGGATATATTGAAATGTGCCCATGAAAAATTAAAGTTCACATATTGGGCAGAAAAACACTACTGAGGTATGTCCATTTATGTCACCCAATTATTTGGCCCTCAGAGATGAATTGTAAAGCATCGCTCCAAATCAGAACGATCACCTTTTAGGACCGTAGTGTTCAACTGGTGGCATTTGAGATCTGGCCATTTCTACTTATGAAGACCTTATTTTCTAGAACTCAAAGAGATTTATTAATTTACCCATTTGAAGAAAACTAAAATTCCAAATAAATAAACAAACTATTTTAAATAGCACATCATATGAACATTCAGATATCAGTTCTCATTTCTCAGTGAATTTTTTAGAGAGCATATAGCTAGACAGAGAGGTAGAAAAATATTACTGACCCAAGACCACTCAAATGGCTCAGCAGCTTCCCCCTTGTTGTTGCCAAAATTATGCAATTAAAATAACTACAATCTTTTGGTTTTCATTGGAGCCAGACTTGCATGTTTTCTTTAATGTCAATTCTGAAATCTGAAACGGGTATAGCTGGGCATAAAATATTAAGGTGCACAACTAGGGTACAAAAGTTCTCTTTAGCTCCATGAGGCACATTACAGAATCTTAGATTTAATCAAAATGCAAAATAGACTCTAACTTCTCCCCAAACCTGAACAGTCCCAGTAAGACAGGAGTTTTCAGGGATGGGGAATACGGCATCGTTGAGCAGGAGCTGAGAGCCCACAGGGTACAACAGCAGGAGGTTCCTGGCTGTTTGTGTGTCTGCCCATCTCTTCCATGGCAGGAATAAACCAGCCCCCTGCTTCTGGTGCAACCTCACAGGAGCAACACTTTGGGGTGACCAGACTTCACCAACATTCCAGGCTGCTTTCTCTGGTTTGCCAGGATATTTAAAAAAACCCCACATTCAGCACAGATTAAGGATTTGGAAACTTGTCTGGGCATCACTAAAACATCCTTACCTGTGTCATCAGCATCTTTCTCACATGGCAGAAAACCAGCAAACCAGAGAGCTTGTCTGGACATTTGAGAAAGCCCACCTGTGCTGCTTTTGGATACTCCTCATACGGAGAATTGCAAAGGCAGCTTTTGCAATTCTTTACCCAATGGTCAAAGGGACTTTTGACCCTTAGGTACCAACTCAGGCCTCCTTGCAAATTGAGAGCTGGGTGGGAAGGAGTCCTTGAGGTTTCATGCTGCTCTAGCTTTGGCAAAGAAAGGGAGAAGTGACTTCCATTCATTACACACATACATTATCTGTCAGTCTCAATCCAAGTGTTTTGTACTGGCAATGTGGAAGTTCAAAATTTTCAACCTTTTTTCTTTTTCTTCTCTTTTTTTTTTTTTTTTGTGTGTGTGTGTGTGTGTGTGTGTGTATTGATTTGTTTTATAGCAAATCAGCATTTCACCTGACCTTTAAAATTGAAGTATGCATGGTTCAGCAGCTCCCAAAGCCTTTGCCATCATGTAATTATGGAACTGTGATTCAGGTCTGTTTAGCAGACAACCTCAGGCAGGAAGTTCTGCAAATATATTGTAGTTGCTTCTTTATTAATTGTCAGCAAGTTCAGCTATTGGAGTTCAAAAGACACCAATAATCCAAAGAAACATTAAGTGCTGACTGAAAATAAGAAAGTGATTGTACAGCAAAAGGTCAGAGTCCTGTGGACCACTCCACAAAGGTGTGCCCATGTGATCCTTGATGTTGCACTTCCCATGTTGTGGCTACAATCTCAGGGTCCAATCCAACAAAGAGACTGCATAAACATCACTTTCAACATGTTAATGACACTGGAAAGCACTCACTGATCTAGAATAAGCATCTCTTTCTCTACTGTACTATGGAGAAGGCTTGAAATGCAAGATCAGACCCTATATTGGGATGGAACAGATGCTGGTGAATTATCCTGTCAATTATCATTGTCTCTGCACTAAAACTGAATAAAAATATAACAGAAAAACCCTCAAGATGTGTGTAAAGTTTATTATTTGAAATGTCATTGCAGTTGGAAAACAATCCTTAATCTAGTAAAACTGGGTTTGCAGCTGCATGCACACATGGTGTGGTGTAAGGGCATCTGAAGATGTTACAGCAAACAACTGCAGCAAGAGACAGGGACAGAAATTATAAGTCAGCTATAAGGACATACACAGATAGTTCTAGTTGTGGTATAGCTGGTTTTTGGGGCTGTGCTTGTGTCCACACCCAGGTATTTGCACCACTAATTCTCCAGGTGACCCGGGCAGGCCCAGCCAGTCTCAGCACAGATGGAATGAGGGACTGCCTTGAGACAATAGGACAGCTGGAAAGGAGGTGATTGACTGAACCATCACAATTAAATTTTGGAATTATTGTTATGGAAGCTCTCTGGGAGGGAATTTTGGACAGTTGCAGAAGTTGCCCCAGGCACCTCCTGCTGTGTTAAGCCCAGACTGAATGCCTAAACATGTTAGTTAACATTCTGGGTGGAGAATCTGGCCCTGCCCTCCAGAGATTCCCCTTGGTGACTTCTGCTGCTGAAGGGATCGAGCTGTGCATCACTATTTGTAAACAGTTAATAGAAATTGGTGCTGCAAAAATGCTATGTGGGAAATAATTTGTACGTAGTTGAGCTATTTAAGAGATGTTTTGTCTTTAGTTAAGTTATACCAATAGCAATGAATTAAACATGCTAGAGCAATCCCCTAGGATCACAGACCAGCTGACTTAAAGTAATTCAGCAGCACAGCAGTTTGGAGAGTCTCACCTAAACCAGCTGAAGACACTTCAGCAAGGACACTTACAACAGAGACTCTCATCTCCAACCAGGAAACAGCCATCCATTCTTTTTGGGAGACTGGATTCCCCAAGTGAACATTACCTCATGCAATAACCCCCCAGATCACCTCCCTTTCAAAAACCCTCTCAGGGAGTACCTGTGCAATGCCACCCAGCCACAAACAGATGGGCCCTCCAGATGTGCTCCTGCACCCTCCTGAAAGGACAGGGTGCCACAGCTATTCTGCTTTCAGTACCCAAAAGACTATTTACAAAGCTTGTTTAGATAACACAAATTACCTTAGCATGTACACATCCCACAGGAGCTGTGATGAGCATTGGCCAGATTCAGAGAGGTCTAGCTGACCCTGCAAGAGTTATTGGGCTATTTGCTTTGTATATGCCTCATTTTCCCTCTCTGTAAAAGGGGGTGATATACAGCACTTGGAATCTGTGGATGATTTAGGAGCTACACATTATTTTTACTCTTCTTGTCTAGCTTCGACAACCAGTGATGTCAGGTCAAAAGCAAAGCAAGTTTTCATTAATGAAACATGAATCCTTCCCTAATACAGTGGGACTGAGCAGTCTGTAGGATGATTTTGTTGTCTGATATCGTTACCCTTTATGATCTCATATTTTATGGTAGTTAATGCCATTGGAGGAAAACATGATTAGAGCAGAAAGCAGCTTCAAAGCAGCCATTGCTCAGTGCATTCATCACACTTGCCGCAGAGCTGGATTTTTCCTCTCTATAAATATAATCAATCAGTGCAGGTAAAGAGTTAGTTGCAAATAGAAGCACTTTATGTGAACTAGTGTGTATCCTGTTTTTATCAGTGTGCTGGGAAGTGTAGTTAGAGTGGGATAAGTTATGGGGTGTGGGCTTAGGCATTAATGAATATGAGAAACTAAATTATTGAATTTTGCAATGCAAATTATTTTTTGAGCACAAATTCTTCACTTTTGAATGTTAAGGGCTCATAAAAAATGTCAATGGTTTATGAATTAGGCCATTAGCATGCAATTTGTGATTCAAACAGTACCACAGCCTCATGTAATAAGTGACTGAATAAAGAGCAGCATTCCTCTCTACACTTGCAAAATAGTTTGTCTAGAATTTCTGAAGGCAAATGCAGGGAGATGTCACACGAGGGACTCATTCCCTCCCTCTGGGAATGCATGGTTAGACAGTGGAGGGGTCCTGTGTCTATCCCTGAGTACAGTGCCTGGAAATGCTGTATTTTTGTGGTCCATGCAATCATGGCAACAGGCAGAGCATCTGTACACATCAAACAAGCCCAATGCTCTCCAGTCACCTGCTCATGGAGGTGTGGGCACCCACACAGCTGGGCCTTTTGCCAGAGGTACCAAGAAGTTTAACTGTGAAATCTCTCAACACTTCAATAAAAATAATATCTACTGGTGGCATGAACACTGAACACTTTTGAATGCATACATATATCTCCATTGAAAAGAAAATCTGTGTTAAGCAAATGTATCTGAGAGGTGGGGTGCCCTGTATGGGACAGGGTAATCTGAAGGTGTCCCAAACACCAACATGCTCAAACTGCAGGGAGAGAACTGTTGTCTTGGTGGGCAATTCCCAACTTGAACAGCAGTACTCTTCTGTTCCCGGGCTAGTGCTTACCGAGGTAACAAAAAATGCACAACTATTACGGATATAAAAATTTACACTTGCCCAGGATGAGAGCAATTTTGGAAAGAAAACACTAAACATGAGAACATCTCTGTGGCAGGTTGAATATTGCTGTTCTCTAAGAGATCTCTGCAGCTGCTCAGTGTTTCAGAATCTGTGGTGGGGTAAGAAAAATTAACCAGAAGGAAGAGGAGGCAGAGGAATGGATTATATATCTAAATGCTTTAGATATATAACATACACTCTTAAAATAGTATTGTATGCATTATACATTATATTATGGCATATGAAAGCCCTGAAGGGAAGGGCACTACCAATTTGAAAATGCAGTTCTCTAATTTGTGCCTGTGGCATCAATGATCCTCCTTTTCTCTGCTTGCAAATCGGTGGCATGAAGGCTGAAGCTGATTCCATTCCAGAAGCTGACCTTTGGTATGGTCTCTAATGAGGCAGAAGGTATCAATTCCAGGGACCTCAGTAGGGGATGTGCACTTCCTACAGCTCCTCACAATAGAGCAGCATTCATCATAGAGCTCGTAGCAAAAATGGAGAGGGGCTGAGCAGCTGGTGACAAAATAGAGGAATGGAAAGAAACCTTTGATTCAGAATCAGAAACTACAAGGATTTTTGGCTGCCCCTGCTGCTGGCTGTGGTTAGCACTCAAGGCAGTGCATTGTTTCTGTCTGCCTATCTTAGCTGTGTAACAGAACTTGCCATGGGCCATATCCCAGAGTCTCTGACCTGCCTTTCAAGGCTAGAGCAACTCATGTCTTGGATTTTTTTCTCTCTCCCTTCTTGCAGCTGAATGCACACACATACTCTACATGTATATTGTGTGTACTTACCAGACAATCAAGAGATTGATGTGATGGGTGTGTTTGAAAGACTGATAGATCAGGCCAGTTTCAAATTTCAGAAAAACACTAGACTACCATTCACTAAAAATATAGGTTGCCAGTGGTTAATTAGTGGTCTTAATGAATAATTAGTATTACATATGCAAATCAGTTAGCACTTAAGAACCTTATTCTAAATTAGCTATGAGTGTACAACAACCACAAAGTTGGTGCATGTAGTTAATGCTGATAAAGGATGGCCCAGTTTATGAGTTCTTCCCTATCTGTCTTATCATTCCATTTGTTCTGCTCACAGCTCACCTCTCCTAAAGCAGCTCCAATGTGCTTCTGACCATTTATTTTTTCCATGGGGACCAGGAATTGTTCTGGTTTCACCAGACATCTTGTTTCCTTGTTCTGTGTGATGTATACATACACACACACACACACAAATATATACAGAAACAGATATGTTTCTTTTTGTTTCTCCATACAACATTCCCACTTGTTCTATACCCTCTTTTCTTGAAGATTTTACCACATACACACTTTTTCCAGTACCCCCATTTGTGCTGTTACACATTATTTCTATATTTCTGCTTAGATTTGCGTGTTTGCTGCTTACTTTATTTGTGGTGTTACAACACCAGGGCATACTTACACACTGTCACCAGGTATGCTATTTTAGCATGCTTATGTCCAAGCTAATAGTATCTTGCTTAACATGCTTACACTCCTTAGGTACAGCAGCCCCTGCTTTGGTTACACTCTCTCATGTTCTGTGGAATTATTTTGTGGTCTTTTCTAACCAAAGTGTTGCTACTGATTAAACTGTAATAAAGGATAATGCTTTTCCCTCTGCTTGTTTCACCCTCCTGGATGGAACATTGGCTGTCTTGAGAGTACTCACTGATGTCCTGCCCTCCACAGTTATGATGTAACTGTCTGTGAGTGGTCATTGTCCCTTTTAAAGTAAAATTTAACCAGGTGTCCTTCACCCCTCATGCTTTATTGGGCTGCTTGTCATCATCACAAGCAGAGAGCCTGGGTCAATGATTAGCAGCCGAAATCAGTGGCGTACAAAATGTGTTAAAAAAAAAAAGAATGCTGATTTATGGCTGTTTTCTGTTACCCCACCACAACCACATGACCCTGTTCAGTATTACAAAAGGCTGTGTACCTGCCAGCACCTGTCAACTCCCATGACCAATGTCAGCATCAGAGCACTTCAAGGTCTTGTTTTTACAGCTCACCACAACACCAGATGCTAATACAGACCATATCCCTCGCTCCTGGCAGGAAGCAAGGGACCGAGGAGACCAGGGTCTCTCAAGTGTGAAACGTTAACACTTAGTACCTCAAAGTGCTGTCAGACTGCTCGTGCCCTGGGGGCAGGAACCTCTCTTCTGGCCAGCTGTTGATGCTCAAGCATTGCAAAGGTCAGAAATCGTAAAAGAAAACCTTAGAGGGGATATTTGGTGACTTTGAATTATCAAAAAAAAAGGCATATTTAAATTATCCCTGTGGCTTTGGATTTTAGTGTCATGGCCAGGTTTGCATAGCAATGGTGTGTTCAGAGCACAACAGGGCCCCTCTCCCCTGAGCTGGGGGGAGAGGGAATCCTGCCAAATGAGAGCTTTATTGGTCTATATCAGACTGGGGTGGCCACCTCAGGGTGGGGGTCCCAGCAGATGGGCTGGTGAGGGGATTTGAGACAGAGCCCAAAGCATGAGATTGACACTCTGAAAAATGGGAACTTGGAGCTGTTTGTGCTGTAACTAACCACAGAGGCACAGAGTTATATTCTACCAATATTATCTCGAATTTAGGTCAATACTGGCTTTTAAACTAATAAATTGTGGGGGAAAGGTTGCTTTTTCAATAAAAGACAAAGAAATAAAACCCCAACCTATGGCCCTACCATGATTAATCCTGGTCAGCGGGCTGTGCTCGTGCTCTAGTTGACCAGAACACGTTTGATTCAGTGCAGCTGAGTGGGTTTACATAACTCATGGAGATGTGGCAGTCATTTTTAAATTATCCTTGGGGCTTTGGATTTTAAGTGTCATGACCAGGTTTGCATATCATGCCAGTCATCTCTTAATATGGCAGGCAAGCATTTTATTTCTTATTGTATTATCGCACAGTAATATAGAATATGTTCCAGTCAAATTCCCATTTATGGCTAAAGAGGACACACACTGTTTCCTTGTTCTGGTTTGCATGGTTTTTTACTGACCACTAGTGAATTGTTTACAGCTGCTGTGCCTCCAAGGTCAAGCCTGCACCCCATCTCTTATATTCCATGTCTACCCTCCTCCCTGCTGCATCCTGCACCTCCTTCTCGTTGTCCCCGTTGTTCTTATCGAGCCTGTATTTCTCCACACTGCATCATTATGCTGGAGACATAAATATCCCATTCTACCCACAACACCTGCTTGTTACTGCTGTCTATATAAAAGTGCAGATCTCCATCACAGACGAGCAGAAGTAAACCAGAGACAGACCCCTGATCAATTATAGAAATTGCCATCCCAGCTAAACCAAGTAAAACAAAGGCAGATCAAGAAGAGTTCAGAGGAGGTGGGTCTGACATGCCTCTGTCCTGAGGTCTGGGAAACTCAGGACAAAGCTTATGGTCAATTACCTGCAAAGGCAATGCTGTATTTGCTGTATTACTTCACTACTACAATGAAGGAACTAATTGC